AAAATGCATTCTTGTATATGTCATCCATGTGCACTCTAATCTGATGATAGTCGGCCCGTAAATCTAGTTTGGAAAAAACTTGGCCTTCCTTGAGTTCATCCAAGAACTCATCAATCACCGGGATATGGAACCGATCCTTGATGGTGATGTTATTAAGTGCTCTATAATCAATGCAGAAACGCCATGTCCCATCTTTCTTTTTGACCAAGACTGGCTAAGAAAATGGGCTATGACTTGGTTGGATGAATTGTTTTTCTAATAGCTCAATTTGTTTCTCAATTTCTTTTTTCTGAAATTGAGGATAACGGTAGGGTCTTACATTTATGGGGGCCGCTCCCAGAAGTAATGGAATACAGTGGTCATGTTCCCGTGAAGGCGGTAGATTTGTCGGCTCCTAAAATACTGCTGCATATTGCTGGAGGAGTGCTTTCAGCTGCCACTGCTATTCTTTTTGTGTGGTTGCAGTTCCCAGAGGATGGTTTGAGTGGGTTCCTAAGCTTGTTTCAGGAGGGACGAGAGGCTGATTGGGCTTGGGCCTCTGGCTGGTATACCTTGGAGGCGGATCTTGAACCCATTTGTCATGAACTCCATTGACAACTGGAGCCAATCACATAGAACCGGCCCCAATTGTCTCAGCCATTGTATTCCCAATACTATATCGGCTCCACTGAGCTCAAATAGGTATAAGTCCACCACAAATGGCTGCCCTTGGATTGTAAGTTCAATGCTTGTACAGATGCCTTCACTAGGGAGAGATGTCCCATTTGCTACTTGGACCATGAGTGTTGTTGTGGGTTGGATTGGCAGCCCCAGTTGTTGGGCAAACACTTCCGTTATGAAATTCAAGGTGCTTCCACTATCGATCAGTATGGACACCTGGCATCCTTTGATTCGGCCTGAAACCCTCATAGTTTGTGGGGAGTTGAGCCCGGTAAGGGCCTGGAGCGACATCTCCGGTGCCAGTTGCTGTTCTTCAGCCCAATTGAATCCTTGCAATTTGTTGGGATGTATCCCACTTTCAGTTCTGTCTTCGGAGTCATCTTGGAGGGTGTAGATCTGCATTGTTTTACATCGGTGGCACGGCCCAATTCATTCTTCACAATTGTAGCAGAGACCCTTTTCTCTGCGGGCTTGCATTTCGGCCCACAATAGCTTCTTGAAGAGAATTGATGGGCCAGTGATCATAATTCTGGGCTTACCCAGAATGTTGTCTTCCTTTCCTGGGCCAAATCCCTTGCTCCTGTGTTTGTCAGGCCTTGGAAAGTTGGCCGATCTTTGTGGTAACCAAGGCCGGCTGAGTTTCCTTGCTCTGTTTAGCCATTCTTCTTGGATCTTAGCCATGGCGACAGAATCCATGATCGTGTCTGGTTGGAGTGCCCTTACTTCCAGTCTGATGTCTTCCTTGAGCCCTCCGACGAAGGCTCCGACCAGCGCATGCTCTGGCCAATCGTGTGCTCGTATAGCTAGGCGCACAAACTCCGTCTAGTAGTCGCGAACACTCCCGGACTGCCGGAGTTTGGCAAGACTTTCATTATAATTTCAGTAGCCTGATTCCCCAAACCAGATGCAGAGTGCTTCCGCGAAATCCATCCAGGCTAATTAATCGTGGGCGTCACCATCAAAACCATTGGTACCAAAGGATGGTGTCTCCAAGTGGATTGCCGCTAACAAGACTAGATCTTGGCTAGGGGTTTTTTTGAATTCAAAGAATTTCTCTAACCTGTAGATCCCGGGAACAGGGTCGCTGCCGGAAAAGATTGTGATGAAATCTGTACCATATGCCGCAGAAGGGAATTTTTGCCGCTTCCTCTTTTTTATTTGTCTTGGTCGCCCTAACATATAAATAACAATGCTGGTGCTGCCAGCACTGATTCTTTTAGCTCTCATGTCTCTCTTCTTCTTGCTGAAAACATGGTATAAGAGCAGGTTGGTGCTCTGTAAAATCTCCTCAACTGCATCGGCTGATTGTTCTGTGATTTCTGGACTGAGAACAAAGGAAGCATACTGATGTTCTGGACCTGAGAACTGTTCGGCTGCATCTCCTTCGTCTGTTCTGGGATAAAACTCGACTGAAGGGATTCCAGGAGTTGATGATTGGCTGAATCTTCCTAAGAGGTCGGCTGTTCTTTTTTTTCCCTTTGTTGTTCCCTACTTTGTTACTGGAAAACCCAGAATTCTCTCGGACTGATCAGGGACACTTTGTAATTTTTTTTTTGTTTGGTTCTTGGTGTTGATACCAAGAACAGGTTAAGGTTTTTTTTTGCCTTGACCGAATGATATAAGGTGGGTTTAATCCCTTTGTGGGTCGGATGATCCAGAAAACCCTTTTTTCTTGTGAAGAAATCTGTAGGTCATGAGTGACCTGGTTCGGCTGACTGGTACAGCAGCTGTTTACTGATGTTTGTGGCTAATATTGGCCTTGGGGGATCTGTTACACCTGTGAGAGTGTTCAGGTGACCAGTAACACAGCAGAAGTTGGGTTTTGATTGTTATTTACTCAGAGTGGGGGCTGTGTCTTCTCTTGTGGGTGTGTATAGACTGAAATCATGAACTCTGAAGATTCTGCAACTTCGGGAACCACCATGAATCACAGTGGAATGAGTAGTGGTCATGACTCCATGAATTTCCCAATGACTATCACCCCGTTGGATGGTAGAAATTACCTGGCTTGGTCTAAGGAGATGCGGCTGTATATCACAGCCAGGGGTAAGGCAGGATATATTAATGGGAAAATAAAGGAACCTAGGGCTGGTACTGCAGAATACGATAAGTGGGACCAAGAAAATTGCATGATTATGTCCTGGCTTTTGACATCCATATTACCATCTGTCAAACAGAATTTTATGTGGGCCGAGACAGCAAAAGAAATATGGGGCCAAGCACAAGCAACTTACTTAGAGCAGAGGCATTATGCTAGAATTTACCAGCTACAAGCGGAATCTTCGACATGTAAGCAGGGAGAAAGGAACCTATCGACATATTATTCTGCCCTCACTTTAGTTTGGAAAGAACTTGACTATTACCAGAACATTGAGTGGGAAAGTGAAAAGGATACTAAAGCATATAAAAAGTTAGTTTCACAACAAAGGGTGAGGGAACAAGGAAAAACAACAGCCTTGATTGTCTATGTAGATGATTTTGTCATCACTAGAGACTGGGTCTTAGAGATTCAGAGATTAAAAAAATTCCTTGCTACACAATTTGAGGTAACCTGGGGCACTTGCGCTACTTCCTTGGTATTGAGGTTGCTTTCTCTCAACAAGGCATTTTCATTTCCCAAAGGAAGTACACCCTAGATCTCCTAAAGGATACAGGGAAGCTAGGAGCTAAACCAGCTGACACACCTATAGATGTAAATCACAAACTTGGGGATTGTTGTGGTGAATTCTTGAAAGATCCAAGGCAGTACCAAAGACTTGTAGGCAAGCTTCTCTACCTATCCATGACTAGGCCTAACATAGCATATGCTGTGGATGTCCTCAGTCAGTTCATGCATGCACCCAAGGAGGCACACCTAGAGGCAGCATACAGAGTTCTTAGGTACTTGAAGAAATTTCCAGGGACAGGTTTACTCTTTAAGAAGCATGGGCACATGAGAGTAGAGGTGTACACAGATGCATATTGGGCCGGCTCAGTGGATAACAGAAAATCCACCAGTGGATATTGTACCTTTGTTGGTGGAAACCTTGTGGCTTGGAGAAGCAAAAAACAGAGTGTGGTGGCCAGGTCAAGTGCAGAGGCAAAATACAGGGCTATGTCAGAGTTATTGGGGATCAAGAACCTATTAAGTGAATTAGGATTTCCTTTTGATGATCCTATGTCACTCTATTGTGATAACAAAGCTGCCATCAACATCGCAGCTAACCCAGTTCTCCATGATAAAACCAAGCATATTGAGGTGGACAAACATTTCATTAAAGAGAAAATTGAGAAGGAGCAACTGTTCACTCCCTACATTAGGCCTGATGAACAACTTGTAGATGTTCTTACTAAAGGATTATGCTCACTACGACATTATGATCTTTGTGACAAGTTGGGGATGATTGACATCTATGCCCCAACTTGAGGGGGAGTGATGAAATCTGTACTATATGCCATAGAAGGGCATTTTTGTCTTTCCTCTTTTTTATGTTGTCTTGGTCACCCTAACATATAAATAACAATGCTGGTGCCGCCAGTAGTGATTCTCTTGGCTCTCACGTCTCTCTCCTTCTTGCTGAAAACAGATTGGAAATGTGATTTTGGTGTTTCTTTCTGGCCATGAACCGCTCCGTCGGTTGCTGCCATGCTTTCCTCCTTCGTTGGGATCGCATCCTTGTTTCCCTCACCTTCTGTCTGATCGAGCTTCCTTACCAAATCTGCTAGTGTGTCCAATTCTCGAATGTCTCTAGATACTCGATGGAGTTCTAGTTCAACTTGGTCAACCCTGGTGTCCATCGAAGTTGCTCTTGTGTTCGGCATTAGGCTCTGATACCAATTTGTTAGGAACTGCCTAACACAGGGTTCTACTGAGGAACCACCTCTTGAGAATAGAAAGAGAGAGAGAGAAAGAGCGGGAGTGAGAAAGGGAGATAGGGTTTGTTTGAATGATTGTCTCTATTACTTCCTCCGATTGTATTTATACATGGGGTTGGTACAATCTGTTACAATCTTGGAAGTTAATTCCCACTTCTTGTTGCATTCGGTTATGCCAACCTGTCATTAGTTGGACCTGAGAGCTGACGTGGTTTCCTTCTTTTGTAGGTCTTGAGTTTGGGCTGGCTATTCCCATACACCGGCCTTGGTTCAATGTTGCCGCTTGTCCCAACATTATGGCTTACAAAACACAAAGATCCCTTAGTTGACTAGCTTTAATTATAGACATAAAAGTAGAAATGAACTAATAGAAAAGAGAGGCTATAATATATAAACAAATTGCATATTATAGGAATTCATTAGAAACATATTTGTAAAAGAAATGTAATCCTTGCTAGGAAAAGAAGAAAAGGAGGAACTCTTACCTCTTGTAGAATTAATGCAAATGAAAAGACATCCACCTTCGTGTCATATTCTTCATTTCTAAAAACTTCTGGAGCCACATACCGGCCTATTCATTAGAGAGAAATTCTTCAGATTTCAGAAAAAGAAAGCTCTCAAATTAAGAAAATTAGTATTAGAGAAAATGCTTGAGAAATGAAATGCATGTCCATGATACTGTTCATTTGGTCATGCCTAAAGGTTTGAAAGGTCATTCTTACTTCCTTAAGAGGTGAAGATTCTAATTAACTGAAAATACTATTATCCAAGCATTATTTCCATCTAGTATATAGTATATCAGAAGATTAAGTCCTTCCCAGACCTTTAGACTGAACCAACATAGCCTTCAAAATGGCTGCTACACCAACTTCAACAACAGCCACATCCACCTTACCAGAGCCCCCACCCTCCCAATTAAAGCATCTCCACGTCTAGCCTAAAAGCCATGAATTTAAGAAGCCATCCATCCAGGTGAAAAGATGACCACCTAGCTGACTAAAACAAGGTGGGTACCTTGTTGCAATTCAATTACCATAGATAAGTTCTTACATCCCACCATATACCATATATGTTTTTTTTTATCAGAAAAAATTCGTTTTATTAAATTAGTTATATGTAAGAACAGTACAACTTGATGACAAGAATGTCATCCCAAATATCAAAAGCTAGTTTGCAAAGAAGCCCAATACAATTGCTGCATTGCAGCTCCTCGTTTAGCAAGGGAGTCAACTAAGCCATTTGCACTCCTTACCCACTTGAATTCAGCATTTAAATCCTTTCCAATCATTCCCACTTCCCTCAAAACATGTTTGAGAGTCCATGGGATATGTCTATTTCAACTCACTCATGAGGTAATTACTTTTGAGTCCCCTTCCACCTCCACCTGTCTAAAACCCAGTTGCTTTGCCAACCGAAAACCATGCAACAATGCCAACAATTCATCCTTCATAGAGTTTGCAGTACCAATTGGCCCTGAATACAAAGCCAAGAACCTGCTCTCCGAATTTCTGATTGTACCACCTATTCCTGCCATACCCGGGTTACCAAGGAGCTCCCATCAAAGTTCAATTTTACTTTGCTGCCTCCTGGGGGTTTCCACTCCACTCTTATTCTTTCTTATTCTCTAGAGGACTGCTACCTCATTTCATGCCCTTAAGATGTCAGTGATTGAAAAATTCTGAAAGCAGTCCAAGGTCTTTACCCATAGTTCAACCTTCACTTTTATGCTGTCTATTACCTCCTCCAAAGTCCTACTCTTTCCAGTAAATATTTTGTTATTCCTCTCTCCCCACTCCACCCAAGTAATTGCTACCTTAGTATCTCTCCACATTGCTCTCCCTCTATTCTTTGGTTGCCTCAAGAAGTTTGGATTGAAGATATCCACAGCCTCATATGTTCCTTGAAAATGACGACGTATCCATCACGGAGGTCCTAAATTTACGGAGAAAATAAAAACATTTGATAAAACTTTGGCTATCCAGCTCCACATTTTACAAATACATATCCATTTGCGTTTTACGAAAACGTCCCTATAGTTTTAATTATTTTACATATTCAACCCTCCTACACTATTTTTATTAGGGAATGACTATTGACCTCCTAAAGTACGTAGAAAATGTGAGGGGACATGAACCTAGGAAATTTTTTTCAAAAAAGGAAATGACCATTTTAACCATAACCCTCCTTTCAAAATCCAAAGAAAAGAACACCCCCTAAAAGTTTTTATATCACATGTAGTCTATCCCTTTTCCAAACAAAGTTATAAGTTGGGAGAGGATTTATTTGTTTTCTAAAATGTGGATAGAAGAATTTCATTAATAATTATTTAATGAAATATTTTTATAATTTTTAAATGAGTATTTATTTCTTATTCAAACAATTATTTTTTGCAGCAAATCACACGTGTTATGCCATTCAAACAATTATATATGTTTATATATAATATATAGAAAATATGTGACATATTAAAAATATATATACCGATCGGTTCAGTTAACCGCCGGTTTTTTTGTAGGTTAACCGAAAACTGAACCGGTCCTTCGGTTTTTCAAAAATTCCAAACCAAAACTGAACCGATCAGTTCAGTTAACTGCATTTTGTGGTTTGGTTTTCTTGGTTCAGTTCGATTTTTCTGTTTTTCATGGACACCCCTACTTGGGGGCTTGCATGAAGAGAAAATAATGTGATAAAGAGATACAACCATACTCGTGAGTTGCATTCTCAAGGTTGTTATGATATCATGTGCCAATTAATTAGTTTTAATATTCTTCTCATCCAACCATCAATTAATGTTGATCTCTCAATTTAATCCTATGTAAGTTCATCTTTATGGGCTGAATTGCATAATGGTATTGTTAGAATTTCTTCATTCGTAATAACAGAAGCAGAGGCTGGAATGGAATTGTAACATTGTTGTTTGCTGCATTAAAAAAGACAATGGTTTCTTAATAAGAAACTTGCAATTATAAGTACTTAACTCTTGAAACTCATATAAAGACTTAAAAGAGATCATCGTGTGCTCGTTTTTTAAATATTGCTTCAGCAAAGCATTTCATATAAAAGAACACGATCATACAGTGATAGTTCTGAGTTCTACTTCATAGTTGTCCTTTGTTTCACATCGAAAACTCCTAGTTGACCCAGATGGTAGGACCGTTCGGCCTGGGAACTGTCTAGGCAACTCGTTCCGTTTTACCCAAACCCAGTCCGTGGCCAAAAATCATTGAATCAGTCAAATGATCCGTTGACCCGGGCAGTCGAACCATCGACCCATTCAATGGTTTTTGGCCATTCTTATTTTTAATTATTTTTTATTTTTTGATTTTTGATGTTAGAACAAGCCATCTGTTCGAACCGAACGGTTGAACCGTCGAGCTGGAAACCAGTGGCCAGAACGGTTCCGTTTCTGGGTCATTTTTTTTCTAGATGTCAATAATTAGATGAAATAACTTTGAAGTTATATTCATGGGAATGGTGGACATTGCAAGGGATTCCAAAACCTTGAAAGATAAATCCAAAGTGACCTTAAACACAAAAAAAAAAATGGCAATAAATCCACTAAACTGAAAAAACCAAGGAAAAAAAATCAGAAAATCGAGTCCAAAGTTCCGCTTTGAGGCGGAATTAAACATGCATGCAATCAAAGGAAGAGACAAAGCAAATTGTCTTGTAAGAAAATTAAAAAAAAAATAACATTGCACAAGAAAACCCAAAGAAAAAACAAAAGGGAAGAAATAAAATGGTGGTAAACCCTAGACCGTTTTAGAGGATCTTGAAGAAGAAGACCAAACACACAAAAAAAACACAAAAACAGAAAATGAAAAAAAGGAACATACCGCACGCACTCGAATAAAGCCCATAGTAGAAGAAACCTTTGAATAGTGAAAATCCAAAAGCATAAAAAGCATGGTTTTCGAACCACCGTTGACTCGAACGGACGGACATTTCGACCCAAGAACCATCCAAGCAACCAATTCCGTTTTACCCCAATCCCGGTCCCTAGCCAAAAACCGTTGAATCGGTCAACGACCCAGTGACCTGGGCAGTCGAACCGTCGACCCGTTGACCTGTTCAATGGTTTTGGTCGGTTTTTTATTTTTAAAATTTGTGTTGTCAGAACGACCATCCATTCGAATTGGATGGTCGAACCGTTGACCCGAAAACCAGTGGCCAGAATGGTTTCGTTTTCAGATCATATGAGTCACACGCTCGAATGACATAACGCGTATGATACTACTTAATGGACCTCACAGACTCAATGGTTCCGTTTTTTTATTTTTTTAATTGGGAACCGTCCAGGCAATCGATTCCGTTTACCCCAATCCCGATCCTTGTCCAAAAATCGTTGAAATGGTTTTTAGCCGTTTTTTTATTTCTTTAATTTTTGTTGTCAAAACGGGCCATCCATTCAAGTCAGACGGTCAAATTGTCGACCTGAAAACCAGTGGCCATAACAGTTCCGTTTTTGGCTCGTATGAGTCAAACGCTCGAATGACATAACACGTATGATACTGCTTAATGAACCTCACACACTCGATTTTTTGCCTGTAATTTTTGTTGTCAGAACAGGTCATTCGTTCGAACTGGACGATCAAACCATCGACCTGAAAACTGATGGCCATAATGGTTCTGTAATTTTTTGCTTGTAATTTTTTTGTTGTTAGAATGGGCCGTCTGTTTGAACTAGACGGTCGAACCACCTACCCGAAAATCAGTGGCCAGAACAGTTCCGTTTTCGAGTCGTATGAGTCACACGCTCGAATGGCATAACACGTATGATACTGTTTAATGGACCTCACACACTCAATCACATATCGAATGGCATAACACGTATGATATTGCTCTCCCAAATTCTACCCCTACATAAGAAGCAACATATGAGGAGAAAGGCAAGAAAAGGGTCTTCTTCTTTGTAGCAAATCACATGTATTTTCCTTTCCAAGGAAGATTTCTCAGTGGAAAGCTCAAGTTTTTTGTGGGATAGGCTTACTCCAATTTTCTTTCACCGAGAAGTCCACCCCTTGAGAATTATGTGAGACAATATGTTTGAAAAAGGAGGAGAAAGTAAAGAGTGCATCTAGGGGGATGAGCCAAATTCTAGAATCTTCAAGGTTTGGGTCTAGAAAAAACTACTTCCAAAATGTCAACTAGGTCAATGAAGGAAGTACACTCACATTCCCTTGGAACTCTTCTAAAACTAAGGTTCTAATGAAAACCAGGAGGAGGTGTTCCCATTCTAGATACAGTTTCAACCTTAAGGTTAGAAAAGACAAAAAGATCAGGAAGTTGATGTTTTAATGGTGTTTCCCCTATCCAAAGGTCTTCCCAAAAGCGGATTTTGTCAACCCTTCCCACATCATAATGGATGGAGTTAAGGAAAAAACGGTATACCCCAGAGGTTTACCATATATATGTTACTTATGTTTTATTTTAGGATTTCACTACAAATACAAGAGCTTCAATGAAATAGAAGAAAAGAAAACATTATCATCATATAATCCTTGTCCCAACTCCATGGGGTCAGCTAGAAGTAAAGAATACAAAAAGAATAAAAGAACAAGCCATACAATAAATAGAACAAGGACTCAATTGCCTCCATCCCTCAGTATCTTTTGGATATGATGATTTTCCATGTTTGATATAAAGCCAATATCATTTAGTAAAGAAATTTGCAGCTTCTCAATTTGTAGGCATGCTTGGATGGGATATAAAACTCAGAAATTAGCCTATGATTTAGGTTTTTCTTTGTAAAATTCCATCACCTATGTGATTGGGCAACTTATTTCTCCACTGACAACTAGAATTGCTACAAACCTTGACAAATATGACCCCCTGTTGTACCTTTTCTTCCTAGCAAGTAGTAAGTCTTTACTTTAGATGCTAGCCAGAGTAGGGGGAGGGGGAGGAAAATCTCTAATTTCTTAGTAACTTTAACAACCACTCAAGATGCCTTTAAAAATTCCAAGATGACCTCACCCTCATTTAACCAAGCCCTTCCATGATCCACATCTGGATTTAGCTTTAAAGCAATAATGGACAAGCTCCCATGAACAAAACCTTACTGGACCTTCTACAAGAGATCTTAGAGGCCTTATTCAAAACATATCCTATTTGGCTATAGAAATTAGACCTGTTCACGGGCCAGGCTTCAGGCCTAAGTATGGAACATATAATATAAACTTGAACATAATAAACATTACATCACACTAATAATATACTGAAAAGACAAAACTACCCCTATATAGTCGACTATAACACTCCCCCTCAAGCTAGTGAGTATATATCATATGGTCCCAGCTTGTCACAAATGTAATCCATTCTTCCCCGACTCAACCCCTTAGTGAACAGATCTGCCCATTGGTTTCCTGTGTTTACAAATGCAGTACTTATTACTCCACTGAGCACCTTCTCTCTCACAAAACGATAGTCAACTTCTATGTACTTTGTACTTTCATGGAAAAATGGATTAGATGAAATGTGGGCTGCAGCTTGGTTGTCACAATAAAGTTTCATGGGGTGACCACTTTGTACACACTAGTTCACATGTAGGTGTATAAATGTTATAACCCTAGTTCTCAGTGTTCTTTTGTTTGTGTTGATGTTATGTTCTTTGAGTTTGTTCTAGTTTTTTCGGCGTCGGATGTCTCCTCTTTTTCTCTGCCTCCACTTCTAGCTCCAATTGCAGATCACATCCCTCTTGTTCCAATTTCAGTTCTAGTTGTGTCTCATTCGTCGTCTCCAGTGCAGTTCCTTGCTGAATGACCACCTATCAGACAAGTGTATACGCATCAACAGGCATCAGCTCCTCCTTCAGTCTCTTCATTGTAAATAGATACAACAATTGTTTCAGCACCAGTTTCACCCCCTCCCTTCAACCTTGACCTTCCCATTGCTTTGGGGAAAGGTAAATGTAGTTGCACACTTCATCCCATTTCCAATTATGTTTCAATATCTCACCTTTCTGCCTCCTATCAACAATTTGTTTCTTTGTTATCTTTCGTTTTTGTTCCTAAGAATGTCCAAGAAGCCCTTACCTCCCTACGGTGGTGCCAAGCAATGGATGAAGAACTCTCTGCTTTGGCTCATAATCATATGTAGGATCTCACCACTCTTCCTCCTGGAAAACATGTTATGGGTTGTAAGTGGGTGTACACTGTCAAGTATCTCCCAGATGGTAGTGTTGAGCGGTTCAAGACTTGGTTGGTGGCAAAAGGGTATTCACAACTATATGGCATTGACTACACAGAGACCTTCTCTCTTGTGGCTAAGATTAGTTCAGTTTGTGTTTTGATTTCATTAGCTGCTATGTATAATTGACCTCTATTCCAACTTGACATCAAGAATGCATTTTTACATTGTGACCTTCTTGAGGAGGTTTACATGGAGCAACCACCAGGGTTTGTTGCTCAGGGGAGGATGGAAAGGTGTGCAAACTCAAGAAGGCTATTTATGAACTTAAACAGACTCCACGTGCATGGTTTGGTAGATTTAGTGAAGTTGTGAAAGAGTTTGGCATGAGACAGTGTTAGGTTGATCATTCAGTATTCAGCTATGATTCGTCTGCTAGGAAGATTTTGTTGGTGGTAATATGTAGATGACATTGACATCACAGGTAGTGATAGGTTGGGAATTGACAAGTTGAAGACATTCTTGCAATATCACTTCCAAACAAAGGACCTTAGGAAGTTAAAATACTTCTTGGGGATAGAGGTAGCAAGGTTTAAGCATGGTATCAATCTGTGCCAACAGAAGTATGTTCTTGATTTGGATGAGATAGGTTTATTAGGTGCCAAACTAGTTGAAACACCCATGGAACCGAATGTCAAATTGAGTATTGATGCAGGTGAGGAGTTTAAGGACCTAGGAAGGTACCAGAGGCTGGTAGGAATGTTGAATTATCTAACCATTACTCGGCCAGATATATCTTTTGCAGTCAGTGTAGTAAGTCAGTTCATGCAGAATCCTCGAGTGCCACATTGGGATGCAGTTTTAAGGAATAAGGATTGTCTGGTAATTGAAGGGAGCTCCAGGTCGTGGTTTGTTATATAAGGGTGGAGGAAATCTTGAGATAAAGGGATATACAAATGCTGATTGGGCTGGTTCAATATCTAACAGGAGATCCACTACGGGGTACTGTACCTTTCTTGGAGGAAATTTGGTGACATGGAAGAGTAAGAAGCAGACTGTGGTAGCAAGGGATGGGGTATACAACTAATCACCCCATGAAACTTTATTGTGACAACCATGCTGCACTCCACATTTCATTAATCCATTTTTCCATGAAAGAACAAAATACATAGAAATTGATTGTCGCTTTGTGAGAGAGAAGGTGCTTAGTGGAGTAATAAGTATTGCATTTGTAAACACAAGAAACCAATGGGCAAACCTGTTCACTAAGGGTCAGGGAAGAGTGGATTACATTTGTGACAAGCTAGGACTATATGATATATACTCACCAGCTTGAGGGGGAGTATTAGTCAACTATACAAGGGTAGTTTTGTCATTTCAGTATATATTATTAGTGTGATGTAATGTCTATTATGTTCAAGTTTATGTTATATGTCCCATACTTAATTAGGGGCATAAAAGTCTTTATGTACTCAATTACAAACATATAAATACAATCTGGCTGACTAGAGAATAAGCTTACTTCTCTAGATCGAACCAGTTTTCTCCTCCTTCTCTTCTTTCTCTCTTCTCTCTCTTTCTTTTGTCTTTATTCTCTGCTAATCTAGGGTTGAAACCAGTACAGATTTGTTCTGAAACATAAACCTTCACCTGAAGAATTGCCTTCCTTCCCTTTACCATTAAAGTTATCTTTGAAGATGAGAACTCAGGTCTAACAGTTGACCCTTCTCCTCAACTACTCCAGAATCTATACAGGAGATATCCAAAGGAATTATTACTTCAACATCACCCCCCCCCCAAAGTCCAATTCAGCACACTCTTTTCAACTCAAAGCTGTCACAACCTGTAGTGTCTCCAATATGATATTGACTAACAATGATACCATTTATTTGGGATTTAGATGCAATTCATAAATGATGCCTTGAGTCAACATTTAGGACGAAAAGGAGAAAGAGAGAGACCAACTGTCTGAATATTCAAATGATAGGTATTCCAGCATTAGAATTTAGAAGATAAATAGTTTCTCCATGAGTCTGGAAAAACACTAAGTTAATAGAATCATTAACACGAGTCTTTCATGAAGCATCTTCCTCATATATATGCCATGTATTAATTGAGTTAATTGTAGACCTTTCTTTCATTTTGAACTATCCATAAACCCTTAAATGAGGAATTTTTTCAAAAAAGAACCAATGCTATAAATTATGTCATAAATCAACAAACTTACATGATGTGTCTTGACATGTTAGAGGTCTATCTTCTTTAACTGTATTCGCAACTTGCAGTAACTTACTAACTCCAAAGTCTGCAACTTTTAGATGTCCAGAATCATCCCGAAGTATATTTCTGTTATCTTACTCGAAAGCAACACAAGAAAGTTCTAACAGTTTCAGACCATCCAGGTAGATAATAACTACTTCAAAAAAAAGGAAAGAATTGGTTCTCTGCACCAAAGGGGGAAGGGTGGAAAGAAAACAATGTTATATGAGAACTTACGAAGGTTCAAGATCTCGGTGAATAATTGCTTCTGGTTTATGCTCATGCAAGTAATTCATTCCCCTAAAAAATTAGCCAAGACATTATCACAAGGAAAACCAATTTGTTAGCAGAGACCATGACAAGAAGAAACATTTAATGGGTGGGGTCTAGAATATGAAATCATCATCAGGTTCCAAATCTATGAGTCCTACAACCCATGGTTCAAAAAAAAAGTGATAGTAAACAATCTAAGACAAAATAATTATATTCAACATGCCAACACAATCAATTTCACAATCCACACCATTAGAACTTAAAAGAACATGACTGTAAAACCCAGTCAAACTGAATCATCATATTCATTTGGATAACTGGATAAGCCCTACTGTCACTGCATTCCATGCCAATTCTTAGTCATCAGAAATCACTCATAATCAGCTGAAGTTTTTGTATTTTGTGGAGTCAATCAAATCCACTTACTAATTAATATACTTTTTTTCATTTTAAAGATCCTCCATACCAAAGATTATAGCTTTGTTGCTTCTCTTTTCTTCCTTAAGTTGCTATCGACTACTGAACAGAGCTTCTCTAGAGATTGAATGAAAGTGAGGAGCATTGCTGAAAATCGAACAATATCAATCAACCTCCTCCTTTCTATCTTGGAAAAAGAAAGATAAGATTGCTCTCATCAAACAACCCCAAAGCAAATTTCTCCTTTTTGTAACCACTAAAAGGAAAACCAAACACAGCCTAATATCACAACCCGACTTTCTCAGCCTCTAAGTCGTGCAGTACTCCACTCATCCCACGGGTAGAGTCAGCCTTGCCTGCCCAAGATCTCCCCTCTGCTATGGTGCTTGTGAAGACACGCCCCTTGTGTATTATAAAAGCAACAGTGATGACAATATTCAACACTATAAAGACACATTGATATATAATATTTATACACCTACATCCAGTATACAGTATATGCAGGTATATGTGTGTAAATCAAACCCAGGTTAACATGGAACTCTTCAGTTCTAAGCTGGTTGGCTCTGCATTTAACCAATGGTCATTTTTTGTATCTAGACCACTTCACTTCTTAAGTATGGGCAATGCTATACGACTGAGGAAAATCCAGCATATAAACCAGTGAACAAACCTTGCAATATCAAGTGCAAATTTGATTGCTGTCATTGGCTTCAGTGCTCCTTTTCTTTTCAAATATGCACGAAAATCTCCCTGCACCATACAAAGAGAGTTGTATTATATTACAACCAACATTCTAGAAATCAGACTACATTGTTCAATTGAACCAGGCTAAACTGGAGCCAACCCCTAATCCAGTCAATGATTTAGACATTTCAGATCGTTTTCAGTCAAACTAGGAAGAACCAAAATCAAGCCCCTATGCAGTTCAATGTCCTGTCTGGTTTTCAAAGAAAAGAACTTTTAGATTTTTTACAATTTCCATAATTACATCCACACATGTGAGAAAACTTCAATCTCCAAATTGCATCTCAATATGCACCAACAAAAAGGCCATTACCAAATCTTGATCACTCGGTCTGTGAGTGGCCACTTTGTGCAAAAAATACCAAAGGTAAGACCATATCCAGTCTACCCCTCCCAAGACCCCAGATATGCCAGCCCAAGATTTTACAGAAATGAGCGCAACAAAATTAAATAACAACTTAAATGCAAAGCTTTTCATTTTTTTGATGCCAATGAGGAATGAATTAACAATGAGAAGATAATAGGAGTGATTATTCTTCCATCCTGCAAATTTACACACACACACACGAGTAGGTGTGATCATGGGTCAGGCTTAGTACCTAAGATAAGGAGCTTAACCAAGGCCTCGTCCTGGCCCATGCTGCACCCCAGGCATGAATACTTATGAATTTATAAGACACAAAACATTGAAAATGTCCTTGTTTATATCACATTATGATATATAACAAAAAAAGGACAGCCCAGTGCATGAGGCTCCTGCCAATGTGGGGTCTGGAGAGGGACAGATGTACACAGCCTTACCCCTGCACATACAGACACTGTTTCCAAGATTTGAACCCTGGTCACCTAGGTCGAGTGGAGCAACCCAACCATTGCACCAAGGCCCACCCTCACATTATGATATATAACATGTATCATATCATTTATAGTACATACTAAATAATTATAATATATAATAATATCTATACCAGACATAAAAAATTCCAGGCTGGGCCCGGCCTAGAAGTATTGGGCACTAAACAATTGGGCCATGCTGGCCAAGCTAGAACTACCACCCTCCATCTACGCTATGGTATTAAAGATGGGCCATGTGTCATGACCTTGTGATAGTTGCATGCAGGGTTTGCCCCTATTTAGTTGAATAAATTTTACCATTTACTCATCAAAAAAGAAGTAATAGTTGAACTTATGTGAATCACTTGTACTGTGTGACTTACAAGAATGAAGTTTTGAAATAGAAGTTAAATATGAACAATAAATGTGATAGTTGTACCAAACAAAAAAGGATGTCATATTGAAACCTTCACATGTGGTTAAAGAGGCAATGCAGAACAATTAGTTGTTAAGATAGAAGAACATGTGCTGTACAAAAGACCAGTTGGCAATAAGCCAATAACACAAAGAAAGTGGAAAACCTTGGGTAAATATTCAGTGACAATCATCATTGGACTACTCTGGGTTACAGCACCCAAGAACTGGACCACATTTGGATGTCGTATCTTTTGGAGCAATGCAAGCTCATCCCTAAATGCCGTCCTGTAAAATCCATAGATATGAAAATGACAAAACTAGAAGAAAGATTAAATAAAAATGACATCAATGTCATTAATACTAAATAGCAAGGAAAAAGCTTTCCAATCAACTGGTAGTGTATAACCAACCCACACTTTATCCTCATCAGTAATGACATCATCCCCAAGTGTCTTCACTGCAACTTGTGTTCCACGCCATAATGCAATACGGAAGGTTCCCTATGATATATTTCATGTGATAGAGTAAGTTCCCAACTAATGACAATACTGGTACAGGTGAATCATCATATAAATTCAAATTGATTAAATTTCGGTGAACAGACTTGCAAGAGAATAAATAACTAGGTAACCTTGATCACACAATTAAAATCCAGAAATAAGAGTCAAAACGACGCAGTTTCTAGCCACATGAATGATAACAAAAATGGGATGACATTTGTAGAATGCACAATCCAGAAACTCCAGTATGTGGTCAAATTGTTTGCTAACAGAATCTGTTGGAGTATTCAGTTTGTATAAGGATTATTTTATGAAGAAAAATATATAGTCAGGGACTTTAATGTAATATCAACTTCATTGGGGCTTTTATTGTAACTTTGGATGGTTTAATGTTGTATAAAAGTCTTTCTTATAAAGAAAGACAGATTGGAATGTGATGTGTTAAACTAATAAACTCTACTCTTTTCTTCTTTCTTCTTTCTCATTATTCACAACTTAACAACTGTAATTCTGATTAACAGGCATAATCACTATTAACATTTTCATCATCATCAGATTTTTCTTGACGACAAAGAAAAATCAAGAAAATCAAAGATTTTGATATTGTGTATGACTGCTTCTTTCCTATCTGGATAAAACTAGTGTTTAGGATTTGTTGATCTTCTTCTTATGAGTTTTTTAATTCAAGTTGTACTGGTTTCTGTGACCAATTGAATGAACACCTATTTCTCTATCTATTTTGGCACCAAGGATGATTTCACCCTGAGAGATTCTATAAATCTTGGTTGTAAACAAAGTTTTGATTACAGTCATGTTTCAAGTTCTATTGGGATCTGAAAATTAAAGGACGGGGAGAGTGGTATCTTTTGAGAACATTAGCACATTCTTTTTTATTGAAGATCTATCATGGTGCATATTGTTGAATTGTGTGTGTATTTCCATCATCAAGATTCATTGTGCCTTGCACTTGTTCAAAATGCTTGAAATGCTACAAGCTTTTATGAAGAGAAAATCTCTTTTTATGTTTAAGGGTCATGTTGTTTAGTTGTACTTATGTGTCATTAGGTATTTGATATATTAATATTTCTAGTAGAATGTTCCTCATACTGTCATGTTTTTGTTAGGTCTTTGTTAAGTTGGTAGTATTTCATTATTACTGGGGTATTTACCAAGGTGGACTTGATGATTGGTCATGTCTTGGGAAAGAGCTGCACAGCCACCATGTAATAAGTTGAAGAGTTGCTTGCCATGGGTAAGAGCCAAAAGTGCCTCTGTGAGTGAAATCAAACTGACTGGATCCTTGTAGGTGTGGTGTAAGAGCTCTTGCTGTAATGCTGGAATCTTCAAGTTGCCTTGTTCAAGAGAAGCTATAGGGTTTTCTTGTAATTTTGTATAGTTTAAATTTTATGTAAAAAACTACTCTCATCAGAGAGAGACAAACTGCATGTGATACTGTTAGACCAATAATCTCTAATCTTCTCTCTTCTCTTCTTTCTTCTTTCTCATTATTTGCAATAGCAACTTAGAATAACTTGGTATCCATGTAAAGCATGAGTTATTTGAAGGCGAAAATAGCAACTCCTAATGCTGAACATACCTTTTTATTACTTAGCAAGAAATTAAGTTTACAATGGTTCGCATAGAATCACAAAGGCCAATTAAAGAGAACCGTTTCCCCACTGGGATAACAAAGAACCCTTTCCCTCCATCTTTTGAAAACTTAGGATTCAGAATCTCGTGATCAAAGCAGAAAGGCTTTTAAAGAAGAAGATCAACTAGATGGAGTGGAGAATATTGACATCGTCCCTTTTAAATATAGAAGCCATTTCATGGCAACAGACCATTTCATGCAGATATTACAAATACAAGTAGATTCTCAACCAGGTTCAAAAAAGATAATGAAAAGAATTAAATAATCAACAAAGAGAGAATAGGTCCAAGTACCTTGGTTATTTCAACACTATTAGTAAAATCAAGCTCTTTAGGATCAATCTCGTATTCTGGAACTTCACGGGCATTGTGGACATGCATAGGGGCCATCTGAAGTTATTAAATCAGAAAAGAATAGTTACAATATGGACCACCAATTTCATTCCAATACAAAGGATGATCTAATATGTAACACATACCAGAGGCTTTGCACCATGTTTCTCCAAAAGTTTGATCACATCATGGTTTTTGTAATATATTGCATCTGCAAGAGGCTGTTTGAGGAACTCTAAATTATTGTGCAAGTCCTTAGAGATTTAATAAGATGATTCAGTCATCTAGATGGCAATTGAGGAAGCACTAAATCATTTGGCAGGTACAGCCAGCTCCATAAGATGATTCAGTCTTTGAGATGGAATAACACTTATATAGATGTCAATGAAAAACAAAAGACACTGGAAAAATCAAAAAACTGGTTTTGTAACTTCATCTTTAAGGATATATCATTTGCCAAAAAGAATTCTTTTTTTATCAGATTTGCTAAAAATAATTCTTTTTTTATCAGCTTTGCTAAAAATAATTCTTACACAATTGAAACTTCTTAAAAGTAATCAATCTTCATTGGAGTCTGCAGGGTCTTTCGTACTGACTGTGATGGTTAGTCAGGTTTGAAGTATCACACAAAAGGAGCATAATGATATTGATTTACAGTTTTCTTTTTCTTTTTTTTTTTTTTTTGAAAAGGTAAAGTATAATGAATTAATTGTATAACTTGAGTAGTTGTACATGGGATGAGATTTGCCCAAGAGAACTATAATAAGAATAATTACAAAAAGTAGGCATCAGTTGATAGATTAGCTGCCTTAGAACAAGGGAAAATTTTAGCTAATATGTTGTGTATAACTTCATCTATTTGTGAGGATTTGCCTTCAAAAATTCTGATGTTCCTCTCCTTCCATATAGTCCAAATTATATCCATGGGCAGCATGTCCCAAATGATTTTATCATTGCTAGAAAGGTCTTCAATGTACCAGCTGCTTAGGAAGCCCAAGAAATACTACAAAAAACCAGTTAGATGCAGGTTAACCAGCAAATGGTTCCAAATAAGTCTGCTCACTGGGCAATGCAGAAAGAGATGATCTGCACTTTCCTCTGCGGTATTGCAAAGGGGGCAATTGGAAATGAATATAGAGAATATGAAAGAAAGAGGATGAAAGGAACACGAATGACTTTTACCAAAAGAAATGCAATTCTATTTGGTTCCAAAATCAAGGTGATGCTTAGTAAAGCACAAACCCCGGTATCAGCCATGTGAAACTCAGCTCTAGCAGTTACAAAAGTACCAATTTGCCCAATGTCATTTTAGTTTTTAATGCAAATTGTTGCATCGAGACAAACAAAAGATGCTTTCTTTGCTGCACCCAACATGAACAAGAAAGCATAATTGACATTACCCATTCCCATTCAAACTTGCAAAATACAATGCCATTCTTGGGGAAAGTTCGTATTAAATTTCATTTTCATAAACTCAAGAAAAAGAAACTTCCAGGTACATCAGCATTTATTTCTTTTTTTTAAACACGAATTCTTTTCATTGATTCGTTACCGCAATGCATCAGCATATTGGTCGCAACATATTTCAATAAAACAAAAATTAATTCAAGGAAAAAAGGAAATACGTGTTCAATAAGATACAATAAACAAGTGAATGAGAAACAGAAAATCAAGATAATACCTCCATTTTCTCAGTCCATAAATTCGAAAACATGAATTAGCACAATTAACCTAGAAAAAAAAAACAGAATCCATCTTAGTCCAAAGCAATGAACATACCGTACTACCCCATCGATCCTTGCGATCCACCTCGGCGCCTCTTCGTAGCAACAATTCAACAACATCAGTCCGCCACTGACAAGCGGCAATATGCAGCGCCGTCCGTCCATCAATGTCCTTGAAATTCACATTGGTCCCTGAATTCAAAAGCTCCTCAATCCCTTCAAGGTCTCCTTCGTTAGCCAAATACATAAGCCGAATAGTATCATCAATAGCTTCCGGAATCTCTTGCTCGTCAACCACCACCGATTCATCATCGCGCTCCGGTGGCTTAAGTGATGACTGCTTGCCCAGAGTAAACCTCCCCTGCATCATTGCTTCCATTTTCAAACAATCCAACGCCAAGAATCCAAAAGAAATCCAACCCTCTTAAACCTTCAAAATTTACAAGCAAGAACTCCAAATTTCACAAACTAAACCCCAAACAACAGAACCCGCTCTGAATTTGAAAGATTTCAGAGAACCCTAAAACCTTGACTTTTCTAAGAACTGCAGGGTTTAACACAGAGCCAGAAGATCAGAGAATCAAAGACAGGTCACAAGAATCAGAACAGAGAAGAGTAGAAAGGAGAAGCAATCGAATTTCAACGCCACAGTCTGGATACAAGAATACAGATAAGAAAGAAGAGTCTCAAGCGCACTTCGTCGAGGTCTGCAGTTTGAAAATTATTTAAAAGATAATTAATAAAACAAAAGACGAAATTTTTAATTAATTTGATTCGTCGTAATGACGGTGACGTCCTCCATATGGGAGGGTCTTGGCCTCTTGGGACAGATCCGTCTTCCTAGAAAACACGGTGTAGTTTTTCGAAAAAAAGCACAATCATTTTCTGGCACGTGGCCGCGAGGTGGTTGGGTTGGCGCCTTGGCGGGCGTGGAAGGTGGGCTTTCGGAAAGCGCGGAAGCAGCAACGAGCCGACGTCAGTTAACCGCTTTCTAAATTCCAACTAACGTTCACGGTACGGTTCACACTCGGAGCGTAACGGTATCAGCTTTCCGAGCAAAAGGTGCAACACGGCTGCCAGGTGCCAGCTAGCTGGGCTGGCCGGTGGAAGACGAAATCTTGGATCTGGTCCGAGGCGCATGTTCCGCAAATGGGTTTGGGCGGCCATCACTTGCCACGTGGCTACTTTTCTCTTTTCACTTTTTTTCACTGTAGAGCAAAGCCAAAGGCTCCATGTTTCAAGGATCACAGCCGAGCACAGCAGTAACTTGATGCCAGCTGTCTCCTTCATGCAAATGTTCGGTGGAAAAGAATTGTAGTAGTGGACTTCTTGAGAAGATTGGGTCCGGATACATAAGGCCCAAAACCCTGTCTGAGCCCACATTTTGCCATCTTTTTGTAGATTTATTTGATCAGGATCCACCTTTTTCTTATATATATATATCTTTTTTGCTAGACTATATAGGGCCCACCATATGATGGGTTATGGGCCAAAATTCTACTTTAACAATAGACAAGGCCAAAAGATTAAAGTTCTTACGCAAAGCGTGTGTTTTTTAAAAAGCAAGAAATATTCTAAGGGAGCTTCTTTGAAAGCTTATCAAAACACGCTTACTAGGCCCTCGTAAGTGGGAACACTCAAATGGTCGGTATAAGGACATTAATTAGGGTTTGTTTGGTTTAAAGTTGGAATTAGAATCGGAATGCTTGAAAGGGAATGGGAATTGAAAACAGTAAAAATGGGATTGTATTCTTAAGAAGGAGCAGGGAATGGTCATTTTCTCAAAGAAGAGAATATCATTCCAGCTGAAATGGGAATGAAATTCTAATTCCATACAACCAAACAGTTGGAATTGGAATAGTCCATTTCAATTCCAAACTCCTATTCTCGTAAACCAAACAGGGCTTTAATATACATATCTACTATTGAAGGATTGTTAAGACACAGTTTAAAAGGAGTACAAATACAAGCTGAGCGTAAGGAATAAGGACATTAATTAATACACCAAACTTGATCACAATCCAATCCAAACAGGGCCTTAATACATGGATATAATATTGAAAGATTGTTAAGGCACAGTTTGGAAGGAGTACAAATACAGGGTGAGCCTAAAGAATAAGACCATTAATTAATACACTAAACTTGATCCCAATCCAATCCAAAATTATCATATTGGGTTTGGGTTAGGATTAGGGTTGGGAGTTCAACAACTAGGAACCAGTTAAGGTTCCTTTGAATTAGTCATATTTCGTTTTAGCCCCAAACCATTATTTCTCCAAAAGCCTTTGAATTAGTCAGCAATTTAGCAATCCACTGACCCATGTGATTTTTATTTTAATCGTCATGGACTGATCCATTCGAACTGGGTGGTCGAACCGCTGACTGGCTACAAGAATATAAATAATATGGGTACAAGATAAAATATTGACCCGATCCATTGACAGCTAGAAAAAGAATGTGAAAGACAAATGCAGTCCAATGTTGTTGGACCTGCCCAGATGCGTATACCGTTTACCGGTCACTAAACTAATTACCCCAGATGCATGTTTAGGTTGCTTACTTGCTTTGTTCTTGGGAATATCGACTTTAAAACTACCCGACATACATGTTAAGTGTTTCCTAGTTATTGAGTTTAAACTTATCGTATATGCAAGTTTAGGGTTTTCTAATTATTGGAAACAAGGTTTTTAAAATCAGATTAGACAAGGAATCATTCGAAGGTCTGGTTTTTTAGTTGAACAGTTTAACCGTTTGGTCTAAATGGATGGCCCATTCTGACAAAAAATAATAAAAAACAAAAACAATCAAAAATCATTGTTCAGATCGATGGTTCGACCGTCCGCATCAGTGGTTTACTAATCAAATCAACGGTTTTTTATCAAAAAGCAATTTTGGGGTAAAATGGAACCGATCAGGTGATCGATTCCCAATTTTTCCAATCCGGTTTTGAAAACATTGCTTGAAAATATTAATGTCAAACTTACCCCGGACACAAACTTTAAAATATGTTATAACTGATATTGAATTAACTAAATGTAATAATTATTTTAACCAGCTGTGGAACCAATAATAACGCCTCACGCCAGTCATAAAATACATGGGATCTTTAAACAACACTAGCTTTAAAAGACAATCTGGATAGCGCTGCAAATAAGGCTTGAGTTCAAACTTGAACTCAATTCAAGCTAAAAACAAAATTTTGCTCAACTCAAAACCTCAAATTTTCAAGCTTGGTTAAGCCTGAGCTCCACAATGATCAGCCCGCAAGCTTTCTTATTTACATATATATAATTAAAAATTAAATAATATATTCAATCAAGCCTAGGGCTCAAATTCAACTCAAAACTCGTGTTGACAAACCAATTAAATTAATGGTCCGTTTGGTTTGAAAGAATAGAGGTCTGGAATCGGAATCGGAATGGGCTATTTCGATTCTAATTGTTTGGTTGGGTGGAATCGAAATCCCTTTCCCATTCCTGCCGAAATGGCATTCTTCCATTTGAGGGAATGGATATTCCCTACCCTTCCCTTAGGAATGAAATCTCATTCCTAATGATTTTAATTCACATTCTCATTCCTATTTAAAGCAAACAGATTATGAGAATGGATCATTCGGATTCCAACTACAAACCAAACGGACCCTAAGTTTTTCACAAGTTGAGCTCAAACAGATCACGACTGATTTGCTTCAGACCTACCCCTACGTAGACTTAAAAGTTCAAAATATCTTCATAAGAGATCTTAATAAGAATAATGATAATTAAAAGGTAAATCCCTTAAACCTCCCTTGGGTTTTCTGAAAATGCCTTAAACCTCCCCTCAACTTTACCCTTGAACTATTAATACAAGTAAATATGATTTATTATTTTATTTTTATCACATAAACAAACCCGTTTTTAGGTAAAGAGAGGTTTAAGGATATATTTTTTTGGTAAAAAGTTTTTAAGGATATTTCAATCATCAAACATTTGATGATTTTTTATAAGGAGAATTGGCATTATAATATGTTTGAACCTATGACATTAGTGGTTTCTGTAAGATTATAAGTCCCTCTATCCCTAAAAGTCAAAAGAGGCTTAAGGACAGGTCAAAGTTATGGGAGGTTTAAGGCAATTTCAGAAAAGTCATCTCTTGACCAAAAATAAAAGATCTAAAAGACTGGCAAACTTTAAGTAAAATATACTCCTTGTGTAGTTGTATTGACCAAATTGCATCTTCCATTGTGTAATATAGCCTCATTAGACTAGAAATGGTTAGTCGGTCCAAATTCCTAAGGTTATGTTTAGGAGTACAAATACAGATATATACAATATAAATATATATATAATAGTACAAAATATAAGATTTTGCCTTTTGCACTTTACATATTTGTATTTGTAGTCCTTTGATCCTTTCAAACTGCTACAATGCAATTTTATTTGCACTAATACAAATGCTTGGGAGTGCAAATGAAAATAACGTAAATTCTGCTTTAATTTTGTTTTGGGTTTTACTATATTCTGCTTCAAGTCTAATTTTACTTTATTTGCACTGCAATCAAAACAAAATAAGGTAAATTTTAAAATAAAAATAAATCATAATTTACATTGAAATCATTTGCACTCTATAATTTTGCATTAATGCAAATAAATTTGCATTATAACCAAACACAGCCTATATAAGAAGCAACTTTGCAAGGCCCCAGCTTTAAAATTCAAATGGTAAGTGTTTCAAATAACCTGGTCTTATATGTCTGTCATTGGGACTGTATATTCTATAGATGGCCCACACGGAGAGATGTGGCCAATGCAGATTGTGCATCAAATATGGGACCTACATGATAAACCAAGTCCTCATACCTAGTATGAAAGCCTGAAGCTTCCTTCCAAGTGATCAAGACTTCAGTGCTGAAGCTTATCCTGTATGGAGAGAGGGAACATGTGGAGCCCTTTTGATACCAACCAAACTATTCTTCCCTCCATTGGTCCTACACCCCCAAACATGGAAGTTTAGAGGAAAAAACAACTTTGTAGGGGGGAGAATTTCAATGCATCATTGTGAATTTTAATTCAATTGAGCTGAATTAATTGTTGTTCAAACAGTTCAAGAAGATACCAAGAACAATAATGGGAGATAAAGTTTTGACTTTTTTAATATATGGCTCACATCCAAATGCAAAACAATTCTTTATATCTTTGAATAGTTGTAATTTTGATCAAAATTAATTACAAATTAAATATTTCTAGAGAGAGAGGGCATTGCAGGAGAGAGAAAGGGGGGATTCGAGGGAGGTTGCTTAGAGGTGAAGCATAAAAGGCCCAAGAATTTGGAATTTTCTAGGTGGTAGCATGGTTTGTAGGGCGAAAGAACCTCACTTGTTCCCTTCTCAACCTCTATGCAATGTTTGGAGCAAATATATATATATATATATAAACTCAAACTATTAATCCTTTGTAATTTGCCAGCAGAATTAATTCCTTTTCTTTTGTGTACAATTTGTAACTTTTAAATTAAAAGGAAACCCAAATCTAGCTTGTTGTTTCTAAGGTTGCTAGCAGGCTGAGAAGTTTCTCCGAAGCTACTGCTTTCCATTAAACCCAAGTGTATAGTTCGTCAGTGTCTTGGTTCCAAAATGATGAATAGGTAATTAACCTAGATTTACATCCATAGGGCTGATTTATGGTTTCATAGAAAATAAGAGAGAAATATAAGTTGGTCAAATCGAACATAATGTAATCGCCAATAAG